AAAATATGAAACTTCTGGCGATTATATAACGTTTTACTTGTGCGCGAGGGAATTATATGTATCTACACGCGCTTTAAATATTCCAGCAACAGATTCAGATTTTCGGATAATTTTGCAACAATGCGCACTAAATAATTACTACATTTACGGTATTAATATTAATTGCACTGAATTACATAAACGATATAAATAGGTCATCGACGTTGTTATCTCTAATATTGCGGAAGTGTTACATCAGTGATCGCAGGCTTTAATTACGTGTCCGTTTATCGTGCACCGAATTGGGCGCAATGTCAATCGACGATATATCGACCGGCTCTTTTCTGCAACTGCCGATGACGATATACCGAAAATATGTCGCGTATCCAATTACGCGCGCGCGGCTTATTAGCGAAATGATGAAAACTCACGGAAATCATTCGCTGCTGTGCGCCGAACAAATATTTGCGCGCCTCTCGCTATATTTTTTAGCATATAACATCCGCGCGATATCGTTGAAGCTGCATTGCCGTTCAAAAATAATGTTAAAAACATTCGTCGATAATCGAGATAGATTCGAATAGTAGATCCGAGCGGGAAATTGGAATTAATATGAAAAGAGAATATTCCTTCCCTTCTGCGCCTAAACATATTGCTGTTCGTACGAGCGCGCGAAATTGGATGGATTTGCATTAATGGAGAAATACAATTCTTTTTCGTATGTCAAAAGCCTCGATGAACTTTATCGCAGATGTTTTAAACGTAAACGCTAAATGCAGTGTAATGCAATACAATATATCGTAATCGAATAGAGCAACTTTGTGCACTCGACATCGCGAAACATGTAATCGACGAGAATAAATATCTCTGAGATTATTGAAAAAATATTTTAGCCGTAGTTTTCCGCGCGCGGAGAAACCAAGTGTTTTATTTTATTCTCATTTCTTTCCATCGAGATGATTTTCCATCACACTTTTTACATAATCGTGTCAACGAAAAATTATTCCCCTTTCGTAAGTTTCCACAGATTTTTCTTTAAGTCCTCGATCGATATTATCTCGGTAGGTGGTTTTTTTCCCTCTAATTTTATCATTCGGAAGTGATCTGCGTTTGACGTTCATCGAAAAAATATCGAAAGCACATGTAGCCGCAAAGGAAAAATAAATATTGCGAGATATATTGATTTAACAGGACGAGTTGAAAAAAGCGCTCTGCGTTCGCTACATATTTTATCTATGAAATATCTGATTTTTATTAGCTGAAGGATGTCAAGAATTGCTGACGTAAAATTTTTTCACAAGTTATGCAGCTGTCGTTATTATAGCATATCGATTCATTGAAATGAGTACTGAGCTATTCACATCACATGTTCTGTTTATTACAAAAGGATATTCATACGAGAGATACAGAGTAGATTAATAAATTTCAATTTGACGTAGAAGTAATGCAAAAATCTTTATCAATTAAAATCGAACTAGCGGAAAAATATCTGAAAATGAGATTTTATTATAATATAAATCAGACACACAAAGAAAAGCATCTTTTCAAACAATCTCTATTAGTCTGTTAATTAGTTCTTAAAAATTATATGCATGCGAAATTTCTTTATATACTTTTTAAAATGAAATCTATTTAATAATAAATTTAGCGATTTGTGTTCTTTTCTCGCGATTAATTTATTTCGAATATATTCTCTTTGGAGTCAGGTATAGATATACCGATATGAAATGATAATGCAAGTTACTTTGCGAGAGATCAACCTCTCGTTATACAAGTCTCAGAAAGTTAAATCTCGCGTGTTTGTAACAGACCATCGTACTTCGGAAGATTCAAAGTTGAGAGGAAATTCGAGTTGCTTATGCTGGAAATTCGAAGAGACGCTGTAGAGCTTTCCATTTGGAGAATGGAAATCCTCTTGTCTTTTCCATGGCTATTTGAAGCCCTGAAAGTGCGACAACACATGACGAGTAACGCATCGAGAGCTCGTCAAGACATAACTTTCAAACCATTAAATACGTAGTAAATGTAAAGAACACTTTTCTTAGGGAATTTATATACTATATATATTATAACGCGTTTCCGATAAATTCGTGGAAATATTGATCTCATATGTACTTTGTCTTCCGGAAATGGAAGTTCTCGAGATATTGAAACGCATTATTTAATAGCACACATGTTCCGTAAGTTATTTTATACATATAGATAGAAAATATGCATTAAACACAACTGCGCCAAATTTCGAAGAAATAAAAAAACCTTCTTAAAATAGTGCATCGAAAGCTGCTTTCTCAACTGAATAGTTATTTAAATAAAAAAGTATACTCGTGAAATGTCAGTCCTTTTAAAATTCTTTTTATTGTATATTTATATTTTAGCTAAAATTCTTGAATTTAGTATAAAATAAGAATAGATAAATTGCGATGTGGCAATTTCCATTCTCGAGAATTTTTCGGTCAATTAGATAGATTTGTGTCTTGTGTCGAAGCACAGACAATCGGAATTCTCACATGATCAGGCAAATCTCAATGATAACGAAATAACTGTAAAGAGAAAAATTCTGACATTTCTCTCACGTCGTTCAAAGATTTCTTTTATTGTACTCGACTAGGCCGGTAATCCGCTTTGTTAACGTCGACAGAAACGCAAATTGAGATTTTTGTCCATGACTGTAAAAACGTGACAGAATGCTAGGGCAAGGAAAGAATAAATTTCATTAATAAAACTAAGTGACCATGTTGCCATTCATGTTTGTTGCAAAATAATCTTCATAGCTACGAGATTTTTGCTTTAATGCTAATTTCCAGGATAATTTAATTATAAAGATGTTCAATATTAAAAGTTAAATATTAAACGTATTCATCATTTGAATATTCATTTAAATTTCAATTGAACATTATTAAATATTCATTATTTCGCTAATTAAGCTCCCGAGGAGTATTTATACGAGGATAAATGTGACAAAGTTGTATAACAAAAATTATGATTTATAATTCTATCATTGTATTTAATTTAAATATATCGAAAAATTATCAGAGTATCCTCACATAAAATATTTATTTATGAAAAATCAATCTAGATTTTTATATAAAAATGATTATTAATGATTAAATAAAAAAATATGCTGTAAATAGAACGCATACTATACGTGTATAAATAATAGCATCAAAATTGAAATATCTGTGCGTATCTATGCTAATCTATATTTTCATAATTTCAATATTGTGATACGCCGTTATTAAAAATTGCTTTATTATAATATAAAATATATAAAATAATTATTTTCAAATATTGTAATAAATAATAAACCTATTCATAATAATAATCAAAGAAAAAAGAAAGCATGAATTCTATTCTCTCTGCGCTCGAAACGAGCGGAATTAATTGAGCGTTTAACTGCAAAGCGGCACTTTATGTACGGCATATTTTCCAGATCGAGTCATAACTCACGTAAGATTCGATCTGACGGTTAATTTCCGCGGTTAGAAAGGTGATATGCGGCAAATCACAGGCATCTGGCCGGTTTTTCTACAAGTTTAATTGGATCCACGGACGATCTAATAAAGGCCACATGCGTTCGCGCGCTCGCGATCTAATCTAATTCTGATTTTTCCGGATTTTGCATCGCCGCGGGCGTGCAATCTTCATTTTTATTTTCCAGAAAATTTGCATAAGTTTATCTCGTGCAAAAAATCGCGTTGTTGGGCGCCGTTCAGCGAGTATAATTAAACGCGTTAATTATATGTATAAAGCGTCCCTTCTTTACCTTCCTACCACATCATTATCTATATTTCGAAGAATAACTTTTCTAAGAATAACTTTTCTCAGATTTTAACAATCCCAAGACGAATTATTCGATATAAAAGATACTTGTATTTCATTAAAATTAAAATAAAGTTTAAGTTAATAGAAATTGTCTTGTTGTGCGACAGTTTCCTTACAAGTCTCTAATGTATTTACTCCCGGAACTTCGTTCTCCGTCTCTGTGCAAAGAAATTGAATTTGGAAGAAACAGAGCAAGTATTATATAAATACTAAAACTCGTTGTAAATACCCGAATAAACCGTCTTTATAATTTATATAGGTCATTTTTGGAATAAAATAAATATTTAAAAATACGAATTTTCAAGAGAATTTCTACATTCTTAAAAAATATTTTCTTAAATAGAGAGAAATATTTCACGAAAAAGACGCACGCAGAAAAAGGTAAAATTCATTTCTTTCTTTGAACCCACAGTACAGTAAACCTTTTTCATTCCGTTAATTCATGCCGTGACGTTACTCGTGACAGAAAAAAAATCATGGATCATCCGTTTACTCGCGAGAGTATTTGGGTTAATTGAGGAGCTGCAGAGAAGCACTCTACTTGGTGATACGATGCGAATATCACTAGTGCTGAGAAAGACTTTTTGCACGACTGGTAAGAACACCTTTAAGGAAACATTTCCACAGAGCCATTTACTAATTCAAAGCAACGATGTCAGCAGTAAGAAAGGAATGCAACAGTCTGTTCCTCTACAATGTGAATGAAATTAAGCGGCAATTCGATTACAATCTCTATCGTTTCTTATGGAGCTACTTTTTTTTCTTTTTTTTTTTGTTAGAGGGAGGAAACGAAATATTCGGCAGGATATATCGAGAATTCATTCCTGTCGAGGATAAAAACCGACCTTCAAAATCGCGGGGCCATTTTCCGACGAGGATTCGCGATAACGTCGGCGCTCGATTAGGGTAACCTTCGGTAAATCGCGAGATAAAATCGCCACGTGGCTCTTTCCTCGGTTAAAAGGAAGGAGGGGCTGAATACTTAACAAGCCGTCTTATGGAAAGGTCCTTAAGGATCCAAATGGAACTTTAAAGACTCTGTAGAGGCGATAGAAGAACGGAAAAAGCGATCGACTCGCCAATTGCGAGGGATCCCGGAGGATATAAGTCTCGTAAGCCTAGCCCGCGGATACAGAGCTCTGTCGCAGTCTGTTCGTAAAGTATAACGATATAAAGAAGATCCCTCTTTTTCTTTTCAGTCGCGAAGCCGGCCAAGGTCACCCCGGTGGAGGATATTCAGCCCAAAGAGGAATCCTCCACAATTGAATCTCTAAAACCGTAAGTTTCTACCAAAGTGCAATCTATATACAATGTTTACATTGTACGTTTTAGTGTTAGGTACTTATTACGTGTATGGAAAAAAACATTATATTTGAAAACTTTATCATGTTTACAAGAAATCATTTTTTTTTCATTAGCGTACAATATTCTTCTTGTTAAAAGTTGTGCATATTTCCTATTTTATAGTAATATTGATATAAATATCATCATTCATATATTAATTATTAATATTAAATTATTAATTTTAATATATAATATCATAATATTATATTCTATATATTCTTCGCAGAGAGGAACAACAATGTACGCGTAATTTAATTTGCAATTGTGTTAATAATATAAAATATCTTTGTTTCTGTTTAATTTCAAGTTGATTAATTTTTCGAGTACGTATTTTACATTAGCAACAATATTATCATATCACCGAGCATGTATCATCATCCTTTTGAATATTATATTGCAATTGATTATCAATATAATTTAAGATATTAAATAATAAATAAAATAAATAACAATTCATAATGTAGAAATAAATAATACAATATATAAATAAATAGGAACGCGGCTTAATGCACGCTCTATTTTCCAGATTATAGACTTCTCATTAAAAGTATCGTAACTTAAGTATCACGTAAACAAATTTAATCACTTTTGCATTAGAACATATTTATCACGGGAACCAATGCAAAATATAAAAATAATAACTTTGCGAGTACAATTTTGCAAATAACGAGAACAAAAAAACATCCGTTTCCGGAATAGTGTAACAATACGGTATTGCGTTTTTTCACGTGAAAGTTATACTCGCCAAAGGGCATCCTGCCAAACTGCGCTCTATTTTCATTCAAATTGGTATATTTGAAAGCAATTAATCCTTAACAAAAGTCATTTATAACGGTACGAAAAATGACTGAACAGTGTCTCTAAAAATTCGAAGAAAGAAATTTTTTAATTTATGCAATCTCCCAAATGTAAATGCATACATCTGAGATTATGTTTTAAAAATATTTCAAATATATATATATATATTGTACAATATATTTGATAAAAATACAAATATCTTTAAAAAATAATTTAAAAAAATATTATATTACTTTCGAAATTTCGAGTTCTTCCACACACACAATATTGGAGATTTACATGAAATTATGTTAACATCTCTTCCATCAACATCTACGCAACCACGTGACATTCATACTTTATTGTATTAGTGACAGCACGCACTTTAATAAATGTCACTCAAATAATTCCAGCGTTCACACGGTGAAGCTTAATTCATTATTTTATCAGATGTAGTATCTGATCTATTTCAAAATATTTTACTGGATAATAATCCATCGCGATTAATTCACGAGCTACGTTTATCTCATGCAAGTGAAGTTTGATTCGCTGGAGAACACGTGTGCAAATGAGTCAATAAAGTGACAAACGTGTAGAAGACGATCCCTGAAGTTCACTGTCAGTTTAAACAAGCACGACGGACCTCTATTTCTGTCGTTTGCCAGGCTCGTACACCCAACCAAACGATATTTAATACGACGTGTCCATTAAGGACCATGGATTGATTCGTCGTCAGCCAGCTAAGTAACCCGCGCTTGTTCAAATAACGTATTGATCGTATTGTTGTGCGAACAAGCATGATTGCCTTGGATTTAACTAATGAGCTCTCAGCAATAGCGAACGCTATTGTTAAAATTTTATTTTCACGATCATAGGAAATATGCAAGACTTAATTTAAAAAAAATAAAATAAAATGCGCGCGTTATGTAGAAAAAAATTATTAATATGTTATCTTTCTTTCGTGATATAAGACTTCTGAAACATGATGTTTTCTTTATACATACACGGTAATATACACAAATATGTTTTCAAAATTATTTTTAATTAGTTTTCAGTCTTCTTTTATTTTATATCTATCAAAAATAATTTTTTCATGTTGTAAGAGTACCTGTGGGAAAAAAATTTTATATATAACAATATAAAATTATGGAGAAATATATAAAATCATACATATAATCGCAAAATTATATATGAAATATGTCTATACATAATTAGATAAAAGTGCTTTATATATATACATGTATAATAAATAAGTATTTCTTCATATACGTATATAAATATATGTTTCATATATAATTTGACATAATTATATATGAACCCTTATAATTTATATATAAATTTACATAATTGTTATAAAAATGGACATATTACATAAATAGGAATTTTACGATTGTATGTATAATTATACAATTATATATAATTATATATAAAAATTTTTTGTCCGGGTACATATGTGTATTATAAACAGATTATAGATAAGTATATATATATATATATATATATATATATATATAGTCATATTTCTTTAGTCATTTATGTATCTCACGGTTTAGTGACAGAATATTCAACAATAACGTTGCTAATGAAATATGTCGGAGAAAGAATCGCGAATAAAAGCTTATCCGATGTTCCAGAAAGTCGGAAACGGGCAAGAGTAGCGGGGACGACTGCAGAGTGTGCCGGAAGTCGTTCGGTCCCGAGGAAGTCTCGCGAACTTGTTGCGAGTGTCAACACAAGGTCTGCGAGGACTGCGCCTCGTATTCAACGACAACGAATTCTGACGATCCAGTGAGTTTGCGCGCCTCCATTTCTAATTAACTTGCTTGTTCATTGTTTCCTGCCGGTAAATATTGCCGTAAAACGAGATTGAATGGTGTCTGGGCTCAAATTGATTGCTAGATTAAACGAACGAAAAACACAAAGGGCACAATAAAGAGCCGATCAAACGTGAAAATTTAATTTCGAGAATAACACAATTAATCGCGATATTTCACTGGTATTTAATTATATATGCTATCCATTTACACGTCATTATATGCTTATTAAAAGAATAATTTTTAATTTAATATGTGTCTTTGTTTGTAAAACCGAAGAGCATTTCGTATCTTCTGCCACGCGATTATATTATATATGTATATGTAATTACAAAACTGTGTAAAAAATATATTTAAACACGAATATATACACGTGTGAGCATGTATGCACTTTTCATATAATTATATCATATTCCACTAATTAGGAGAAGAAATATAAGAATAACAAACACAACATTTTTAAATGCGATTCTATTTATAAAGAAGTTTCCATATAAATGTTTTGAACGAAAATCCCACTACTTGTGTATTCATTGAAGCGTGAATACGAAAGGGAGAGTTAATTATCGGGCGATAGTGACAAGAAAAGCCGGAGACTCACGGTGATACGAAGCGAACGAAAGTTTCCTAATACCGGGCCTAACATCCTGTGTAAATCATGTCCACCTCCACTGCTTGCTAATTTTCCCACCGTCTCTCCTGTTGAATTCTATTATTATCTGAAAGTACACTCTGTCTGACGTTATTTTCAAGCATTGCTAAATGGATCAAGTCGAAGAATTTTATACTTCAAAAATAAAAACAAAAATACCGTGGAATGTACTTTCTGCGCTATTTCAATAGATTAACATAGGAAATTACAATAAAAAATTACTAACAATGAGATTCTCAATTTTATTTAAAATTTTTTCGAAACTGCTGAAAGTGCTAAGCTCCTTCTTTATCAATAATTAAATCTACGAATACCGAGAGAAGCAAAAACAAAATCGTAGGCTAAATTGCCGCGCAAAAATTTAACGAATAAAATTTATTCGCGTTTTGCACGCTTTCATTTAATTAATTAGATTAATTGGGGAATACCGTAGATTAATTGGAAAATACCGGATTATTTGTCCGCTTTTATTCGCCGAGTTAATAAGAATAAAAAAAAATGTTATTTGAATATTTGTCATTATTTGTATATCGAAGAGCACTTTAAATCTGTCACGCGATTATACAATAATATGCTTCCGCATGCGGTGTTGATCGCGCATTAATTCTAATTATACACGTAATTGATAAATTCGATAAATGCGCGCGACCGATCGCACGATATTTAATCTCGTGTTTATTACAACGAATTGCAACGTGTGGTATGCTCTTGCATGAAATTCCTGCGGGCAACTCAAATTTACGAGAATGTGCGTAATCATTCCAAGAGTCTATTCATCTCGTGTCTCTATTCATTCCTAATACAGGCGATATATCTACATGCTCTAAATTCATTCACATATATATATATATATATATATATATATGAAATATATATTCTTCTATATATTTGATAACACGGAACGTGCGCGCTATAGAATTACGAGAAAAGTCGTCGTACATGAATATAATAAAAACGTGTGCCCTTAATAAATTTCAAGATTTGCATTCATCCTCGCCATTCGCTATTTTCCATGCTCCTAGTATACGCAGAAAAAGAGAATAATTTTGTTTTTATGAAGCGCACATGAATTTCACTATTATAAATATGTATTATAAAAAGCAGGTCGTATAAAATCCGATTATGCAAACATTGCAAGTTTACACTATATTTGGAGAGAAAGAGGATAACGACATTTACAATAAGAAACTTAAAATTAAATCAGTTTTTATACCTCTTCTACTTCTTTTGCTTTCGTAATATATTGTTGTTTGTCAAAAGTAAAAATAATCCAGAAGTTTAGATAAACTGAAAAGTCCATACATGTACAATATATGTGTGTGTGTGTGTGTGATCTCTATAGATTTCCAACAAAATATTTTTTGAAAACTGCAAATAAAAAAAAGTTGTCTTTATAATACCGATTCGTCGAAATCAAACGTTTATATTTTATTTCGTCCATTATGCTTTTCGTATTTTAATTGGATCCATTAATTCGGCTAATTAAAAAAAAATGAAATCCGTTTGTATGCACGCGCGTATTTGTATTGATAAATAACAAAGAATCAATTAAACTGACGGTTCCATCTGCAGCGAAATCAAACGTAAAAAGAGCAAAGAATAATTGTATGTCAGTATAAAAACGCAAGCTTTATTTCAGTAATAAATATCCATGTGCATCGATGAGTGAAATTGCCTTTTCCCTGGGAAAATGTTACAGTCTTCCTGGCGATGTAGCGTTTGCCGCCGAAAGATCGCCTCGAGGGACCAGCCGATAGTGACACAGGAATCCACGGATTCCCTGCTAGACGTGCCGATTTTGGAGGCTCTCCAAAGGAGGCACAGCGACGCCAGGCTCGGACCCACCGGAAGTCAAATAGGTGCACTCGGAAGCGGGTTGGCTCCACCGCGAAGCCCGGAAATCCGAAGGCATTCCGACGTTTCGCCGGCAAGTCTCAAGGAATTGGAGAAGGTAAGCGAAAATTTCGTACACGCCCGAAAGATCTATATGCTTTCCTTGAAACTTGAATGATTCAATGAGAATTGGATGACGCAAGTAGCATAACTATTATCTCAGAGTGATCCTGATCTTTCTGCGATCGCTTGATTTAATAATGCGAGAGTAGATGCATAACTGCTCTGGAGATTTCGATGATATATTAATTAGATTGTATATATAAAGGATGCGAGAGATGATTATAAGAGATGAAATCTCGACGATAGAACGATGGAACATTTTATTGCCCTTTAATTTGGTTGAAGTCTAATTATTTTATTAACAAAATATTTTTAATATTATTTAATATTATCAATTATTTCATATTATTATTTTTAATATTATTTATCTAGATTTTAGTATTATCAATTAAAATGATTCCTTTTGATTTCGAAAAATTAATAAATTTGACACTTGACTTAATCTTTGTGCGATGAAGAGTTCAGAATAAATATAATGTAATAGTTTTCTTTCAATTGAGAGAAGAGCGACGCTTTACATGCGCGACATATCGTTTGACTGGCTTTCTGTGTTACTCACGATTTATCATCGCACGAAATTCCCTTTTCCCCAATGAGATGCATAATTCAGCATCCTTGTAAACGCGAAAACGTTCGTGCGATCACAATTGGAATTAGAGTTGCTAAAATACCGCTGCGGAACGAGTTACTGTGTAACATGCTTTGAGTGTCCGCTTAAACGCTTTATAAACCACTTTGCTATTATCTCAAATGCATACTTTATACTACTCATTGAGATTGTTGCACGCCACTGCATCATGCAACAAAGTGCAGTTCGCCCAGCGAGGGATATTTTATTCCGATTATGACATCGGTGACAAATAGAATTATATGGAGTGCGGTCTTTTCAGTTTTTTACTTTTCTTCGCATTTCAAATTTTATTATAATATTTAAATCCAGTCCCTCCCGACAATATTATTTCAAATAAAAATTGTGCGGAAAAATCTATATCACATTAATTTTTCAATTATAATACGCATTAATCATATTTCGCATTAATTTTTAGTTAAAACACGAAATCCACTTTTTAAAATACATTTTTAAAAATATATATATATTTTAAAAATTAAATACTTTAAAGCATTTATATTTAAAAAAAAAAAAATACTTTATACTATTTTGAAAGGTTTATTAAAACTGAAAAATGCTTTTTTGAGATATGAAATATAAAAATACCTAGCTCTAAATAAAATTGCGTAACGAAAAGTAGAATTAATGGATTATTTGTCTTTTATGTTAAGATAATATGCGAACCATAAGTTGTTCGAGTCTAATCGACTTTAGCACGCGCGACTTTAACGAGACGCGCCTCAGTCGATGTCGGACTCGACGCGGAGTTCGACTACTCGACGAGATCTCATTGCGCGCAGATCGTGTATACTTGTCCCGCAAACCGAGTGCCCGCAAACACGCACGCGTCGGAAACGAATATATGTGTGTGTGAAACCAGACTTCTCATGACCCGACACTCAGACAGACAATTATCGGGTATGCAATTACCGCGTGACGATCGTAAATGCGAATTTCATGGAACTCGGATGGAAAAATGCATTGTAATAAAAATCATATATGCGTTCTACTTTTTTTTTTTTTTTTTTTAATACGACTTGAAGAAGAGCCATTATCATTTTGCTTTTAAAATCCGTGTGATAAAAAAAATTAAATTGCGATTATATAAATACAACTGTAGAAAATTGTGTAATATGTTGTAAGAGATAAAAAAATAATGCCACCTGACATTTTGCTTAACAAAATTCATTCGACATTACTACGTTACACGGTTCCGTGAATTGCTTGATGTGACATTTACGTGAGTTGCTATCCTTGAATTTATCGGAGCTTCCGTTATTGACTGCCATGCAGCAAGGCTGAAACTTACAACTTGTTGCGAATTGACAACTGTAAAATCTATCGACAACAACATTTTTGGAAGAATAAACCGGATCCACGCTTGCGCGAACGGAAACAAAGGAAAATTGCGTGAAATTAAAATAAGGGAAGCGCGCTTTTCTGCACATTGGTAGGAATAAGATCATAAAAATTGCAAAGTTGAAAATTTACACGAGGTTGTATATCAGATGAAATTGCTCATTACGCGGAACAATTAAAAGCTCGAAGCTCTGGCAAAAAATGTTGCGCGCCAGGTTAAAATCTACGTTTCTATTTTCGCCTGTTTCAATTTTCATTTTTATTTAATAAATACGTCCAGGAATATACAATAATATTTTCGAAATTTTTCAATGCAACACGTGGCCTCGCGTGTTTTTGATAACCGATTATTATATTTTCAAAATAATTCTCTCTTTCTCGTTGAAATATTTTCACTAATAAAATCAATCTACTATTATCCATATATACCATATTTTTCATGTATATATTCTTTTCGCGTCCTATTCATTCGTGTCTACCGGATGTTAAATTTGTTCATACGCAATATGCCTATACGAATCTAATTCCTTTCGACAACACAAACATCGATATTTTTAGCGACGAATTCGACGCAAAAGACACGTTCGGTGGCGAATTCGAGATCGTAATTCCGCTTTGTCAGGGACATGTCGTGACGCAATGAAATACATCCTACGAGCATTTACGTACGCGTAGGCGTATACAAACCCCGAGAGGTGATGTCTCGTATTTACGAACAGGACGAATGCTAATATTGGAGTTTATCGTTCGCTCTCTCGCACGCGTCAACCCTCTCGCGACTCCCCACTCGTTTGCCTAAGGTATACGACGTGACGCGTTTATCTTCCTCGCGGTAATTGTCGTTGACGCTTTTTCCATCTCGAGATTCAATCCACTTCGATGCCATTCGCACGTCACGGTTACCGGTTTTCTCGCGAGCCGCATGATGGATGAAGCAGAATGATTGCGCCGGCGCGGAAATTGCGGAAATGTAATCGCGGCGTTCAAGGGAGGGCGCAAAAATAATTACCAAAAAAAAAAAGAGATGCTGAAATTATTTATTTGCGATTAAAATCCCCACAATTTAATCCGATTACGCGTAAATTCGAAATATCGTTTTTATATATAAACCTGTATTTACAATTTCGATAACAATATTCAGTCGAAAAGATTTCTTTACTCTCTTATATTATTTTATCTTGAGTTCGCGTGCGTCATTAATTAGTATGCAATTTAATTAATTTTTGAGAATATTTTTACATGTTAATATGCTAATTAACTCGGAGGATCGAACTTCTCTTTGTTTAATAACTTCGACCTAGTTGCTGCAGGATTTTTCAACGTTCAGCGATTATAAACGCGGGCGCGTTTACGTTTTAAAATTGCATTTGCGTCCGATGTGTCCTACATAGCGACGCTAGTTTTCTGAGCTACCTACATACATATTTGTTGGCCTACACGCCTATTGGATAATTTACCACTGACTGAACATTCTAAGTGATGCATAGTATCCGATGCATCTCCCGCATCGCGCACACGTCTCGTGCTCCGAAAGTCGCTCCGATATATGTATATATACATATACCGGGTGTCCCAGACCTACCGTATCACACACGTTAATGGGAGATTTGGAGACGATTTTTCCTCATCGAAAATGTCGAGAAAGGTCATCATTTTTTAATGTTCCCAATTTTTGAAATCATGTATCTCTGTAACTAAGCCTTAAATTAAAATTCTATTACAGTCAACTTTACCTGAAATTAACTCAAAAAATGTAGTTTTGTTGATCATTTATTTTTACAAGGCTTAGTTTACAAAAAAGTTGAATTTTTAATAACTCGAAAATGATTAGTGCCTGGACATTCTCGTTCAGGAAAAATCGCCTCAGGAATCTCCCGTTAACGTGTGGATACGGGGACACCCTGTATACATACATATGTGACATGCATGCGCGTGTTACATCGCATCGGTGTTACACGACGACCCAGTTTAGGTGCATCGAATGAACCGTATGCAGTTACGACAGGTATTGCAATACGCGGTTTTCTGCTGGGAGCCAGATTATCGCGACAGCATCTTTTCACGCCAGGTTAAAACGACGTTTCCTCGCACGCTCGCGCATTGCATCCTGGATTTATTTATGCGCGCGACAGATGCTCGGAAGAGCCGGATCGAATCGCATCCAACCCTGGGTAGTAAGAAAGAGAGAGAGAGAGACGTGCTTCCTCTTCCCGAGGCCTTAATAGACCCCTTAAATGTTTAAACCCTCTCAAACTTGCTCGAGCGTATCTCGTCCCGGTCTCTCTCTTTCTCTCCTGCTATCTCTCTCGCTTTAATTGTTGCCTTGTAATTATACCGCGCGACAGAATCGCGTGACGAAACCCGGACGAAGTTAATTTTCGGACGTGGCTATTTCATTATTATCGCGGGCTTTCTCGACCGCGGTCCTGCTCTTGTTTCCCGCAAAAGCGTTGTGGGGGATGCTATTAATTTTCATTAAAGAGAGTTTACACCGGCTTCGGAAATGTCCAGCGAAAAGTCTTTGTTGCAGTTTGTTGCAGGCGGCACCGAGGTTTATTTTAACCCCGTACAGAATCGATCTGCTCGTTTCATTTGCAGAAATAATATCTGACGTCACGAATAATATACACGATTCTAAAGACAATTAGAAATTTGCACACATCGAGTAATTTCACGTTTAATTTTTTCCGTTCAGCATTCTTTCGATAACATCGATAACACGTATTGATTTTTAATTTGAAATAGAGATAGATTGGTTTATATAGATAGAGCAGAATGAACTTTTCAGCTTTTACATAGGTATAGTGTTTAGTAACTCGTTGCGTAGTGACTCTATTTAGAGATTCTCTTTTATATACGCAGAGAATTTCTCTTAGAATTTATCTTGAAAATCATGGCAATCGTGGGACAATATTAAAAGAATTTTATGAGTTTCTCTGATTAATATTTACCGCAATAAAAATATTATATATATATATACATAGTAAAATTAATGAACATATTTTATACCTCGTCGTGGTAGATATTAATATATTTTATTGTGATAAAAATATTAATGAGAGAAACTCATAAAATTCTTGCAACACCATATATATTGTCCCACGATCACCATAATTTTCGGAGTAAATTCTAAAGAGCGAAATTCCCTATGTGCAGTATGTAGCTATATAATTGAAACAAATCGATTCAAGTGAAATACAGTTGCGAAGCTTCATTCGATCAATCATCCGAACAATCATAAATCTCTAGAGCTAATCTCTGTGCATTGATCTAACACGTCAGCTTCTAGGTGTCGATCTATACCGCCTAAATCTTGTACTTGCATCCCCGCCTTCCCTTGCCGTGTTGTTGGGGATGCTGTGACTTTCTCCCCTACATGTGGTAACGTTTCCCGCATCGAACCCTAATTCTCTTGTGTCGTAATGTTGTAGTTTCGAAAGGTTGCAGGGGAACGGCAGAGAGAGGAAGCAGCGACGTCGTTCAAATGGGAGCGCGACATGGACCGGAAGAGCAAGTCTAGGGGTGGCTCGCCGGATCGCCATCAGGCTTCCGACAGAGGGAGAGCGACCAGCCCTCAGAGAGTCATGCCGGCGCAGACGGGCGGTAAGGATTGTTTCACTTCGTTCGCGGTGAGATATCTGTTGCTTCACAACGGATTCGCGCCTCGTAATGGACCGGATATTAACGATGTAATCGAGAAAATATTAGTATGGAATTTTTTTCTTGGAATTTAATATAGGGCGTCCAGCGGAAAAAAATTCCCTGATTTTTTTCAGATTTTCAAAAACCAGAAATTCATTTTTTTTTTATTTTTTAGTATTATTTTTTCCAAATATATAATTTGCATATGCAAAAATATCTCGAGGATTTTCATGATTTAACATTTCATTAATTTATCATATAGATAGATAGCTATATGATAAATTAATGAAATGTTAAATCATGAAATCCTTGAGATATTTTTGTCAACAATATCATATAGATATATCTATATGATAAATTAATAAAATGTTAAATCATGAAATCCTTGAGATATTTTTGTCAACAATGAAAAGATTCGAAAGTTAAAAACACAAAAATTTATCATATAGATGATAAATTGCCCGGTTTTTCAGATTTCCCTGACCGCTAGACACTCTGTTAATAGTAAATTTTATTATGTAATATAATAAAATTAATCAAATATATTTTATATCTTATTGTGGTAGGTATTGATATTTTTTATTGTGATAAAAATATTAATTATTCTTTCAATATCATATTGTCCAACCATTATAATTTTCAGGGTAAATTGTAAGAGAAAATTTTCTGTACAAAGACAACGTAACTTTGCTTTCTTGAAATAAGACAAATAAAACTTATATTTGATATATGTGATATAATATATATATATTAAATATATAATTGAATTTGAAATTTGACATTATTTTCACGAGTATAATTTAAAAATCTCTAATTGGTTTCTATGATGTCTACTATTTTATAATTAGCGTTAAATTAATATAATATTAATAATAAAAAAATTAATTATAATTTGGAGCTTGCGATAGCTGAAGTTATAAAATTCGATAATAGATCGGAAATTAGTAAAAATATTTTTGTAACCTAAATTACCATTTGGTTTTCCGTACTATGAACGCATTCTATCATTTCTGATCAAATCAATTGAAAGATATGATTGGAAATTAAAATTTTTATTTTTTTCAACTTGTTTGGATAACATTTTCTTTCATTTTATTGATAAAGCGATCGAACCGGAAGGCGGCGATCCGGAGGACGAAGAGGAACGTCGGCGACGCGCTCGTCGCGGAGGAGGCACGGTTCGCCGTAAATCTCGAGTGACCAGACAAAGATCCTACGACGATGAAATTAAGACGGCGGCCGCGATGGCCGGCGGTGGCGCGCAGCCCACGCATCCAGACACCGGTCTGGGACTTCCGGTCCAGCTACCGAGACGTGCGTCTGCCTATGACGTTTACGCCGTGCCCGGAAGCAGCGGCCTCAACGCGATGGCCATCGCCGCCGCTCAACAGAGAGCTTCCATCTCGGGGCAAGGTACGTTGAAAAATATTTTTTATTGTCAAAGGTGAAAAATTAAGTCTCCCTCTCTCTCTCTTGTAACTTTATAATTGAACTCGACAACGTATAATATATTCCTAATTTTAATTGTATTTAAATATTTAAATTTAATTATATATAAATTTTATTTATATTTAAATTATGCAATATATTCCAGAAAAATATGAAAGATTAAAATAAAATTAAATAAAAATTTTAAATGATAAAATAAAATAAAAAAATTATCGTGACGTTTTAAAGTTTTTTTTTATATAAAATGCATGTAATATATCATGCACGGTAAACGTATAAACTTTTAACTACAATACGAGGTAATATGATGATTTGATATCACAGTATTTTTTTAACAGAAAAAAATTCCGTGTTTAATATTCATCCGTATATATGTAAAATGTAGTGCGCGTGCTGAAATTAATATTTTCCCGTTTATCGCACATTTTAACTTTATGCTTGAAATATCGGGTAACTCATTATCAGTTATAATATTTTGCATAATAATATCTCGCACGACTCATCCGTCAGAAGTTACTTTGAAACGACAGCTGATGTTTATCAATAGCCGTTTACTGTATACGCATAATTTCTCTCGCTAAAGCACTTCTATCTTCTCCTGACCTCTTGGACTATCTACGAGGGGAAACTTTAGTAGCAACCGGCTCCTCGAACTTGACGAAGATGCCGAAATTTCCAACTTCTATCTCGCACCCTTTGGGAACTGATACAACACGTGCTCCGATTTCTCGCATATTGCACGTTTACGAGTTATCGCAATGGCAAGTTAGCAATGTTTGAGTTCTAAGCGACCCTAAGGGCGACAAAGACCGTGGAAAAGGATAATCGAGAGCAGCAGCGATGTCAGCTTGCTCGTATATACCGTTCCTTCCGTGGCTTCCTCTGTTTCGCCAAATACAATTCGCTTCATTACGCGGATGCACTTTATATCTAGCTTCTTCATCATCAAAGCGACAAGCGACTTTCAAAGAAATGACTAAGCCGATTTTCGCTAACTACATTTCGACTACAATGATCTCGATCTATTCTACCGCGAAGGGGAAATATATATAATGATGTATAATAATAATAATAGAGAGAGTTCCTCACTTGTAACGTTTTCAGGCACGGCTTCCAATTAATTACGCGATCTTGTATATCTTAGGGAAAATTCGTATAATATTAACATCTCTAAAATAATATAAGTATGTATATTATGTAATTTTGAGATAAAATCCCTTTATGAAAATTTTGCGTCATCAAATACCTAGTTGAAAAGTATGTGTGATAGTGTCGGTATCCCGGGAAAAGATTTTTATATAGAACAATATAAAATTATATAGAAATATATAAAATTATACATATAATCGCAAAATTATATATGAAATATGTTCATACAATTAGATAAAAGAGCTCTTTATATATAATTATATATATATTTCATATATAATTTGACATGATTATATATGAACCCTGAAAATCATGGTAATCGTGGGATAATATGGTGTTGGAAGAATTTTATAAGAGTTTCTCTGACTAATAATTACCACAATAAAAATATTATATTTTATATCTTATTATGGTAGATATTAATATTTTTATTGTGGTAAATATTAATCAGAGAAACTCTTCTAAAATTCTTCCAATACCATATTGTCCCACGATTACCATGATTTTCAGGGTAATTTTTAAGAGAAAATTCTCTCTGTGTACAATTATATATAAATAGACATATTTCACATATAATTTTACGATTATATGTTATAATCATACAATTATTTATATATAATTTTATATAAAAATATTTTCCCGGGCTGATTGTCGAAAATAACGTTATGAAATTTCCCGTAGAAAACGGCTTTAAATAGCGACTGCGGCGAAACTAGTTTGAGAATACCCATTTTCATGCATTCAATTGAATCGCGTCTGTTGGGGACGTTGCGGATCCTGAGATGACTGTGTAACTTTAATACTGCGCGTGCATATTGCCAGTCTGCGTGATCGGAAGCGCCAACCAACTCGACATGGAAATTCAACCTTTCTGTTCCTCTCTTCACCCGTTTCCCTCCCTGCCTCTTCCTTCTCTCGTTTCCCGCGTCAAAAGGTCATGCACACAGAATCAAACTCAACTTGCAGTTAACTTTCTGCGAAAACTATTTCCGACGCGTCTAGGAGTGGCGTACGAACGAATAACGCGATTTTAAAACTACCTCTCTTCCGTACTCGTGCATGTACACATGTGCGTCGATCGATCTTCCGAATATTTTTCAAATCTCCATATTCCATCATTCGAGAATCCGATGTTTTATGGTTTCAACGCGCGTGACTTAGCTCGGGGTGAATGCCTGCAGAGAGTCAAGTCTCGCAGAGTCAATATTAAATAAAAAAAGATAAAATAAACCTCTTGACCGGCAGACTCGAGGTTTGCATGTCAATCGAGAAGCCACGTGAGAAATTTCCTCTCCGAGAAACTCGATTGTCGCGCAAGGAAATGTAATATATTGTCGCGATAAAATTGGAAAAAAGCTCATAGAATGTGTACAGCTGTATATAGGATGCCCTTACGAGTAAAAGAATTTTTGTTCAGCTCTTGGAATATAGTATTGATCTTTGCAAAAATTCGATTAAATGCTTGTTACAACCTTTTGAACGTTTAATATTTAGAAAATGTAATAATCCGGTATATTAAAGTTTCTTTGGAAGTTCGTTTAAAATAAAATGAAGAATATAAAAAGTTAAAATCGCGAAGAGAGTAAGAATTGATTAACTGCCCTTTTGCAACCGCGAGAGATTAAATCTTTGTTTAGTTTCAAAATTGTTTAGTTTCCATTTCTCTTCTTTCTCTAATCTCGGTTATAACTCAAATATTATTTTAACCGTGATATCTGAAGTCAAGGAAAAGTGTATTACGTTCATGCATTCTGTATATAAAGTAACTTATGCTAGTTTCTCTACAAGCCAAGAGCTGAATATTTCTGTATTATATATAGTAAGAAATAACATTGGTACTTACTTGACTGGCATGTTTCGATATATCGAAACCATGACTATGACCATTTTATTTCTTCCGCATACGTTTAACCTTTTTAGGTTTCTTATACACTATGTTATCGAATAAATAAATATTTCAATATTTCGATATCAATTCGACTTTTTCTCTTTTTGTGTATATTTTACATTTAAAAATAGAGCTATTTTTTAAATAGAGAAAACATTTTTTTTTATATAAAATGGAAAATGTATGTTTTCAAATAAAATTATATAAACTAAATGCATAATACAATAATATTTTTGCAAAAAACTCTTTTTTTTAGTTGAAAGTATATGAAACTATATCTAAACATTTTATCCGTAAAAATTTGTCTTAATTCTCCGATATATGCATGTATGTAATATTGTTTTAATTTTCCGATATGTGCAATAATGTCTTATAATTTTCCAATATATATAATATTTATCTAAAAAATAGGTAGGCCAACGATTCCTATCATTCAAACGTGTTATTATAATAACACGATTTATAAATCCATGTGTCATTCTTTTAATTTTATTATCGTTATATCGGCCAGAGAGCGACTTGGTTTTTCAAGGCGATTTATTCTCGCGTTGTAACGCAAGTCGCATTAGATATTTCAAGTATAATATAACACTGACCTGAAAATGTCTTCAATCATTTTGTTTTCTCGCAGGCGCCCGAGAACCTGAAGAACGACCCGTAGCGCGCAGACCTTCCTTTCGCGCCGTAAAACCGGTGATGCCCTACGAGGTCGCGGCTGACGACGAGAAGATGATTAAGCTAGATTCGTCATCCGCACCTGCAGTGGCACCGCCTGTAACTCCGCCCGTTCTTGTACCCGACGAGGAGAGACGTAATCGGCGAAGGGGCTCTCAACTGTAAGTAAATAATGACAATTATCAGGGTGTCCAGCAGACTCAAGGAAAAAAATTCCCTGACTTTTTCAGATTTCCCAAGACCAGAAATTCATTTTTTCTCCGACTTTTTAGTATTATTTTTTAATAGTATTATGTACGATAATTGAAACAAACATGTCACTATAAACTATTTAAATAATCATCTTTTTTATTTATATTATATCAAATTTTTTAGTTTTGTCTCTATCAAACGCATTTTATTTATTTAATAAAAAATTTTAAATTATTGAGATAAATGTAGAATAATGTGAAAAAATCCAGATAAAATAGTGAAACTTCCTGACTTTTCCCCGACAATTCCAGATTTATAAAATTCCTCGACAATGCCCGGTTTTCCAGATTTCCCTGGTCGCTAGACATCCTGATTGTATATTAATATGACGCTGTTATCATAAAGATTTATCATGCTTGTAGATTTGTTGCTTATAATAATGTAAGCAAAATTGAATCCATTCAGGATTCAAATATAATTAATTTGAAATGGTATCAAACCATATATTATAGAGATTTTGTCGCAGTTTAACTTGATTAAGTTTAAATAAAAATAAAAATAAGTATCAAATAAAAAGTATAGTAATTAAACAGATAATGTAATTACATTTATGATTAAGTTTGAGCTTTAATTACTGTTTATATATTCGTACATATATTCATTATTTTAATTAATCAGGAATTCACAATAAGTCCACATAGTGTTCGAAATAATTTTTAAAGCAAAAGCTCATTATATTTGTATTTCTTTGTACTTTTCGACTTTCTCTTTTGCAAGAAAAATGTATGCAATTTACGTGCTTTAATTTTAAACTCCTATATATTTGCTTGTTTCGTAACTTCTCATGACATCCAAGTTTTGACGTCGAAACAGACATTACGTCCTCGCTTTCAGAGTAATTTAAACTTTTGCCCTTGTTTGTGCCATCGAAAGATGTGAAAGTGAAGTTATATATTTGGCGGTTAGGAAAGTGCGAGCGGAAAGTGCCTTATAATTTATATAATAACACAATGATGAGTAATTATTTAGGGGAGAACATATTAAATTAATATAAAAAAACTATTAAATAAATAATATATTAAATTAAATAATATACACATATAATATTTTGTTAAGAAAAAACAAGTGCAATAATTTTTTCTAAATAGTATAGATTCTTTATTGTATAAATGATATATATTTTTTAAAGTTAAAGTTAGACAATAATTTTTTCTAAATAGTATAGATTCTTTATTGTATAAATGATATATTTTTTTAAATTAATTTCTCTAAAAATATAATTAAATATTTAGATCATCAAAAATACATGAGAAAGTATTTCTAAAATTTTATTTTTCATGAGTTTCATTTCCTCTTTATCATATTTATTAAAACTATATCTGTTTGAAGTTATCCTGTTAGATTTGGATAATTTCGTTAGTTCTAATAATTTTTTAGTAAGATTGCTTATGTATAAAAAAAATGTGGAAAAAGTGAGAATTGACTTTTCAACGAATTGATTCGAATATCTAGAAATATTAAGTGACATATTTCAGAATAAACTAATCGTTAAAACATTTCTTAAACAATATATCTCCACAAAGTTTTTACAATCTTCCCCCCATAAATATATATTTTTTAATTACATTAATTTTTTTATATAAAAGAGAAACTATTAAAGTATTTAATGCATACGAACTATCTTTTGAGAAGATCGCCGAAACTCTCACATAATCTTAATTTTCCATTCTGACACTTCTTAATTCTTAACGCGGAATGGAAATCTTGATATACACATGAAATATGTTCAGATAATTCAGATTTCAAAACAAGATAGTGAATATCGTGCGTTCTACCTTTTAAGTAAACAACACTATCGCGTTGACATCTCATTAAAGCTCTTTCATACCAATAGTTTGAATTAAATCAATTTATCTCAGCGATTCTATAGCTTCTTATAATCTTATGTAAACAAAGAGAGAGAGAGAATTTACTCAGCTAAACTACTTACTACGCTAAATGTCAAATCTCAAGTATCTTTTTTCAATCACGAGTATTTGTACTGACAAAATTAATTTATGTAGATAATAGAAATGAAAACCCTCTCTTAACCATCAACGTGGCGAAAATGAGAATCGATTTACCGCTCTTTTCTTCTTGATTTCACTTCCCTTGTGGTTGCTTTCCCTTTTTTTTCATAACGACGTGTAATGTGTGTTGTATAAGCGCATATACGCGCATTGCACGCGAAAGTCGAGGAGATCGCAAACGGGGAAGTTTGCTGCTAGTAAAATAATTAATACCACCCAACCATCCCCCTCTTTCACTTTCCGCTCTCTGTTCACCTGGCCTTCGTTAAGTGCGCGCATTTACTCGTGTGCGAGCATCTGCGGTTCTAGCCAAAGTCGAGTTCTAAACTGTTATAATTTCAGCGAGCTTAATTCTCCACGCTGTAACGATTACTCGAAAATATGCAGACGACAAACTTGCGATATTAACTGGAGAGCTTGCGCCTTGTGTGAAATGCGATACTCCAAATGAATAATATACAATGAAATTACACGAATTTATTAAAACATTTGTGTTAAATTAAAATTTTTGTTAAACAATTTGTTTTTCTACTTTCATTATACTTTTTGCTTTGAGATGAATATTAAAAGGTAATTTCGCTTTTAATTTCAAAGAGATTTAATATTGATCGTCCAAAGCCAAATTGAATTAATACTAATAAAATTGAACATACGCAATGGCCATAATCATATATTGAAAAATGATTTTTTTGACTAAAATTACACGAATTTATTAAAACATTTGTATTAAATTAAAATTTTTGTTAAACAATATTTTTTTCTACTTGTATTATTTATACCTTTTGCTTTAAGTTATGAATATTAAAAGGTAATTTCGCTTTTAATTTCAAAAATATTTAATATTGATCGTCCAAAGCTAAATTAAATTAATACTAATAAACTTGAACATATGCAATGGCCATAATCATATATTAAAAATTATTTTTTTTTATTGACTATCAAAAGATCTGGGCTCTTCAGCAAATTCAATGATTCGGTAAAAGTCTCTTCATTCTTCTACTATCCTCTATATATTTTGTATAAGAGTCAAAGGTCTAACATTGAGAGCAAGAAAGTGTCATCCTTAGGACGTTGTGTTTATTGTAAGAAGGGTCTGGAAACCTTCTGTTTAACGAAAGGGTCTCGTGCGTTACGTGATGTGTTTTCTTTGTCAAAATTAGCTTAACCTGGACGATCCTTTACCGTCATAATCTTTTTATCGATCGAATGAAAAAGCACAAAAAGAGAGAATAATGTGCTAAGGTTATCAACCAACATTATATAAAGCATATAAATTGCTTATAATCGCTGTTATCTCATACGGTCAGGTGTCGCTGAAAATTAAAACTCTTATTCACGCCAATTTTTCATTTTGGAATTATTTTCGATACATATTTTAAACAAAATTAAGGGATAAACTAAAATAATGTAAAAACTTTTTCTGTAATTTTTGCAAAAATAAACGTTAAATTAGTGATAGTTATTGACAATTGTAGTATGTTTAAAAAATAAATATATCATTGTAATTCAGTCATGAAGCAAAATCACGGATAAAGAATATTATAAATAATTTCATATAATTTCTCCTTACAAATTTCTCGTCATATTATTTTTCGAAAAATAATTTGTCAAAATGTGTTTCTAAAACGTTCCAAAATTATCTCGTTTATCTATTAAAAGCGATAGTTTTACATTGTTAAATCTGGAAGGAATGCGTACTGAATATAACCCAATTTAATCTAGTAAACGAAGCGGCGCACATATACGAAGTTTCCACCAAAATACCAGTTCGTTTTTTACGTTTTTGAAAAGGGTCGTTGATTATTTGCGACCAATCAATGTGTGATATCTTAAAGCGGCACCATTCGTTGACCTCAATTTCGAAGTGACGCGACGAGTTGCTAAATCGGGAAAGATGAGAAAAAATGAGATAGAGAGAGAAAGAGAACAGTTGTTACTGGGATTAAAACAACTGCTCGATTTCGTCTCCTGGCTTACTTCGGCTTATATCGGCCAAACGTTCCACTGCGAAGAGCGGTATTAGAATAGAAGTCGCACTTGCGCTTTAATACGGTCTTGCTGCATGACGTCGAAATTCGGTCGTGCTTCGAATGCTTGCATCGGGCGACCCGCGTCAACCACGACCTGGGTATCGTCATCTTGGTAGACCGCCGGAAATCAGGGTAAATGGTCCCGATAATTTTACCAAATATCGCACGTTCTAACTAGTGTACTTTCGACTCTCGTCGATGTATTTTCAACCCGCCTCACGTATTAAGTAAAGTTCAAAAGAGCCCGTTTTTTTCTTTTTCTTTTTTCTTACAATCGTTTTAAGAACTTAATTCTACAGCAAGAACACGCTTCACGATAAAAACCATTTACGTTCTTATAAAAAGTCACTTAAATAATTACTTTTAAATTTATTATAATTGTATTTCATCTTGAAATTCGTAATATTTAAGAATTTGAGAGATTAATAAGTAGGTATTTTATAAAAAACATTTTTTTCAGATAAAATTGATGTATCATGATATAATTGCAATATTAAAAAAATTTGTTTTGATGTAACAATATACAAAATAGATCGAAATAATTAAAAAATATAATTCTTCCGTTGAATATCTAAATCTTGAGAAAAATGTTTTTCACTTTTTTAATTTAGCAAAGTAAATTTATGTATTAATAATTGATTAAAAAGGTAGTTATATATTTCGAGAGATAGAGAAAAAAATAATAGCTTATATACTTGCTTTTCTTTCCCAACAAAATTTAAAAACACAACAGTAGAACTTTTAATTCTCTCGTTTACTTACAGCCCGTCCACGTAATTATATTCAGTTGTATCCTGTAATTCCTGCCGCGACGTAATTTTTTTAATCCTAAAAGTTTTAATTCTCCTTTACTTAGAAACAACTACGATT